GTCTTGTAAATTCATAAATTTTTTCCAGAAATATTATGTTTCATTTAGAGACAAATAAGAAGAATGAGGTTATATCCAATATTGATCACAACTATCCATTTATGTGTTTTATTGTAGTGGAATGATAGATATTACACATTTTAAAATGAAAAATATCTTGCTCTTGACAAAAAGCCAATTATAATGAGAGAATTCACAATATATTGTTGGTTTGATGTATTCATATGCAAAAATATGTAAAATCAATTATCCCAACACTAAAATGTGAACTTTATTCTTATAAGTTTTGATCTAGCTAGTTATAAAGGCTTTTACTAAGCATATAATCATAACAATTCGAGGAACAATCTTTAGTAATTTCAACGAAGATCATATTGGTTGCATAATCTAAGACTCATGCACTTGATGTAATTATTTAAGCATATTTGCAAACTTGAGGCTACAAGTTGATCATAAACATCTATATGACCATTTTATAGATGCACCTCTCATCCATAAGGTATTAATTTGGTCTACATGGTGTCTAAATCGGCCCATATATATAAACTTGATACATTATAAATATGTACAGATATGATTTCGAGTAAAACTAGTGATGTTCTCTCATTTAACTCTTTTTAAGAACAAGAAGCACAAATTTTTTTTTAAATCATGCTATATATAAAGAATTTTCAGGTTATTTAATAAATGTCAATACACATTCTTCATGATATTTTGCATCATTATGTTTTGAGATGATTTAAATAGTCATGCCAAACAATACACATATGTAACATTATTCTCAATTATTGATAAGCTTTTGGCTATCAATAGGGATAATAAATCATGATATAGCTCTTATGGATCCTTATATTTTCATTTCCACCTAATGAGAAAAACTCACATATCGCAATATTATTTTTAATCATTGGTAAACTTCTTATTGTCAATGGGATGGTAAATCATGATATAACTCTTTTGGAATCTTATATTTTCATCTTTCACTTAATGGAAGAAACTAACATACCCACAAAGGGTCGAGTTTTCAACCTCTTGTTCAAGTCAAAACTTAAGTGTTTAGTATTAGCTGAGTGTAATACCTCCAAATCTTCTGAAGCCTTAATTAATATGTGATTTTTATTATTATATTCTTACCCATATAAATAAAAGAAAAAAAAACTTTATTATGTTCTTCATGAGCTAAAGAAATTTTGATGGGGTTGTGAAAAGAAATTCATTTTCATAGACTGTACAAAGGATTTTATAGAATAAATAGTGCATATTTTATAATTAAATAGGCGTAAATTTTAGGAGATATTAGATTGAATTTATAGATATTTTATATCTATTTAATTTATTTTATATATTTTCCTTAAATCTAATTATAATGACAAAAATATCTCTCTACAAAATCTTCTCACATCTTTTTTATATTTTGCAGATAGGATTAAATGAAATAAAGATTTTGAGTGATACCAACAAGAATTGAGTATAGCAGAAGGGACCAGTCACTTCCAACACGGTGAAACAAGGTTCAAATCCCTATTAAAGAGGTACTTACATTCTCACCTAAATAAAAAATATAAAAAAAAATAAAGAGGTACTTGCATTTAATAATTGACAATACTTCAAACAATATTGCCTCCTATAAGAGGATACGTGTGTCAAGAAGAAAAAAACACAAGAGGATTGTGAGTCATAGGATTATTAATTGTAATTTTTCTCAAATTACAAGAGAAGACGTGTGGCGGCTGTCATTGCGCAGATGGAAAAATGGGTTTTTTTTTAGCGCAATATTCATTGAAAATGGGTGGGGTCATTCTTTAAGCGCGACTTTTGCCATAATTAAAAAAAAAAAATCAATCAATGAAGTAACTAGCCTATTGAATAACATGAAATTATAATATTAATATATATCAAATTAGATATCACAAACATACAATAATAAAACATGAAATTATAATATTAATGTATATCAAATTAGATATCACAAACAGATAATAATAAGATAAAAATAAAATTTAAACTTTAGATTAATAAAATGTAAAATATGACTAGAACATAAGAAAATGTGAAAAGATAAATTCTTACATGTCATATGACGAGTATGAATCTCCATTGCAATATCATGTTTCCTCTCGAATAATTAGAGCTACATGACATTAACATTGCTACTAACTATTTTATTATTGTGCTTTTCAACACATTAAGTCAATTAACATATTAAATTGAAATGATCATAATCATAAGAATAAATATAAGACTTTAAATATGAATATAATACATACCCGTATATCTTTATGTGGTGAACAAGAATCTTATAAACAAACATATCGCGTCATCATTCGCAATAAGCAAGAGCTTTTTAAAATATAAGATATTTGAGTCATTATCCTTTTGGGGCTATATTATTTATAGTCTTAAAAAATCTGATTAACATAAAGTTTTTCAAGAATCCCAATTATACGTAACTGAAATATCAGAATTCTAATTTAAGCTTGCACTTTTAATAAATTTTTAATCAGGCCAAGAGGCCTGATTAAAGATTTTTTTTAATATTGTTAAAAGTCTAAACCTATGTAGCTAAAAAGAAAAATTAAATGTAGACGTGGGGCGTGATTTCAATCTTAAATTTTTTTTTCAGCTAAATTTAATTAAAATTTCTCTACATTATTTTTAGTTTATTTTGTTTTTTATAAAACAAATAAATATTTATCTAGATATATTCAATGAATAATACAAAATTATTTATTACAAACTCCACTGTCAAAATAAAAACATAAAACAATAAAACACGCTATTGAAAATTTGTAAATTGAATGCCAATGATCTGTTCATTGATTTATTTTTGAAAAAAGTGAACAAAAATAGAAGAACAATTCATATATCCCAAAATCACTTTAAAGTGAAAGGAGTTTTGAGATAATACCATCAAACTGAAATTTATTTAAAAAATGCACATTCATTCTAACGAGCACTTGTGTGTATATATTTGTATATGCGAATATTTATCTATCTTTATATATAATTAGTTTTCATAAAAGAAGCAAAAAGCAGAAATACTTGTGATTAGGTTATATGTAGATAAATTTAATAATTTTATTTATAGATAAATCATGTATTTTTTAAAATTAACATTATATTATATATTAACTCTATATGTATATATTGATAAATGTTTTTTCGTTTGAAAAAATTGCAAATGAAGACCCTCCAATATGTGAAATTGTGATTTGAGACCCTGAATATGGAAAATAGCTTCAGAGGACCCGGTCCCAAACTACAAATATGAAATGTGAGTGAAATGTCTGAAATACCCTTTAGCCAAATTACAAGTTGATTATGAGAAATGATAAGTTCACTTTAGCGAATGACAACTTGAATAGACCAAATCACAACTTGGCTGAGAATATGCTAAATGACAAGTTGACTATGGGAAATTACAAGTTCACTTTAGCAAATAACAACTTTAGTGGACCAAATTGCAATTTGGCTGAGGGGCATTTCAGACATTTATCAAGATTTTATATTTGTAATATGGGACCGGGTCTCTATTTGCTATTTTTCAAATTGAGAGTTCCAAATTGCAATTTCACATATCAGGCCGTCTTTATTGCAATTTTCCCTTTTCATTTTATGAAAAAATAAAAATACAAAACAAACTAAAAACAAAATTTTTTTAATTCAATCCATTTGAAACAATCAAAATCAAAATCAAGTTTACATTACACCTGCCTACCTTTCTTTGTTTTTTTTTTAAACTATAGACTGCATTAGGGTCTTGTAACAATATTCAAAAATTCCTAATTAGGTCTCTTGGTCTAATTAAGAATCTATTTAAAATGTAAGTTTGAATTCGAATTTTAATATTTTAAATGGATTTAATTGGGATTCTCCCTAATTTTTTTCTTTTATAAACAGATTACGTAGTGATCCTTCTTAGAATCAAAATTATATGGTTTTTGACCATTTAATAAGATAGAAATTTAAAGTTTTATGACTTTTGGTCATAACATAAAAAATCAAAGCTACATAGTTTCTAATCATAACATAGAAAATTAAAATTATATGGCTTTTGACCATTTAATCTCAATAAGATAGAAAATCAAAGTTATATAGCTTCTGGCAATTAATTTTAAGAATGGCTCAGATTATTCTAAATAAGTTGAATACATATACGATTATTTTGAAACACCATATGTATATATCCTACTTTAGTTAGAGTTTTGTGTGGATAATATGTTATAAAATTAAAGAAAGAGTAGAAAAGAACAGGAAATTAGAGAGGACAAATAAGGGAGAGTAGTTCTCATTCCACCCAAGGTACTAGATACATGCTAAATGCCTTTTATTTATAAGCACAATTTTAAAACTTTAACAGAATCTATGAATTATATAATAATAGGAGATAATTATAAGATAATGAAAATAAGATAAGATATTAGAGATAATAAGAGAGATATGAAAGTTCGCACATATATTATTAGATTCATAACAATAACATGTATTCGAAAAATAATCAATTAAAGAAACTTATAGAAATATGACTTTTTTAACCTTTTTAGCTCTATTTCAATGCAATCAATCTTTAATTCAAATTAATTACAATAAATGTAATTTAGCTAAATATTAAAATATAAATTTATCAAATTCATAAGCTTGTTTAACATAAGAATATGTTTAGTAGGTGCTCAGTAAAAGTGATGAGTACCTAAAACTTATCAGACATGGATTGTCCAAATCCGATATGATGATCCAATACTCATTTTTATTTTTTTTTTTAAAAAATAGCTATCTTAATAGACATATGACATCTAAAATAGAAATAATCTCTTAATTATTATTTTTTCAAAAAATGGTTTGTCATTTAAAAATACATAATTAAAAATTTTAAATTTGGACGGTCTAAAATAAGATGGATTTTTGGGTTATGAGCATTCAAACTGGATCGGGTCTTATGCATGGGCTATATATAAGAATGAAATGGAACCCTGCTTTGAATAAACAAGCAAATACGAACAATGGCTCACAATATAATTTCTCCCTTCCTCACATTTCATATCGCTTGCTTGGTTTTTTGGTCACCACACCATTACCAGCTCGCTTCAGGACTTACAGAAACTGAAGCTCTTCTCAAATGGAAGCAAAGTCTGCCATATCAACCAACTCCGGATTCATGGGTCTCTCAGCCTCAAGCCAATTCCACTTTAGCCCAGACCCCATGTTCCTGGCGTGGAATAAAGTGTGATTCTTCAGGAAGCTTGATTGAACTCAACTTGAATAACACTGGTCTCAAAGGTACCCTTAAAAACTTGAATCTCCAATTTAATCAGCTTACAGGCCCCATACCAGAAACAATTGGCTTGCTCTCAAAACTACAGTTCCTTGACCTTAATCGTAATCATCTCAATGGCACTATACCTCTTTCTCTTGCTAATCTTACTCAACTTTATGAGCTTGACCTTTCACAGAATCATATAACTGGGACACTAGACCCTCTTCTATTTCCTGATGGATCTGACGAACCCAAAACAGGCTTGATTGGAATAAAATATCTAGTTCTTCAAGGCTTGCTCCTTGGAGGCAAAACTCCAAATGAAATAGGGAATTTGAAACAGTTGACTATTCTAGCTCTGTTTCAAAATAGCTTTTACGGACCTATACCTGAGTCTCTGGGGAATTGCACACATCTAAACATTCTCTCTTTAGCTGCAAACAGTCTCTCAGGCACAATTCCCCCTAGTCTTGGTAAATTACCCAATCTAACTGAAGTTCTCTTGTTTATCAACAATTTATCTGGTCCTTTACCACAATGGTTTCATAATCGTTCTTTTATCAGGCTCAATTTATCTAATAACAGTTTCATTGGCCATTTACCACCACATGTATGCAAAGATAGTGAGTTACTTGAGTTCACCGCAGCTTACAATAGTTTCACTGGTCCAATCCCCATGAGCCTCAGAAACTGCACATCTTTGGTTAGAGTTCGTCTTGAACATAACCAATTGACAGGATTTGTGGATAAAGATTTGGGAGTTTATCCTAATCTTACCTATATTGACCTTAGCTACAATAGGCTGCAAGGTAAGTTTTCTGCAAATTGGGGAGCCTACAAGAGCTTGCAAGCTCTTATCTTGGCTAGAAATTCAATAAGAGGAATTTTACCTAGTGAGATCTTTCAGTTGAAGCAACTGCAAAAGCTTCACTTGTCTTCAAACTTTATATCTGGTGAGATTCCTCCTCAAATTGGAATTACCTCTCGCTTGTATCATCTACATCTGGGAAGCAACAACCTTTCAAGTGTGATACCAGAAGGCATTAGGAAGCTCTCCAGTTTGGAGTCCTTAGATCTATCAATGAATAGATTAAGGGGACCTATCCCTTCTCAGATAGGTGATTGCTACAAGTTGCTGAATTTAAACTTTAGCTGCAATTACTTTACTGGCGAAGTCCCATACCAAATAGGAAATCTTATGGCTTTACAAGATTTTTTTGACTTGAGTTACAATTCACTTTCTGGAGAAATCCCTGTTGACCTTGGTAAACTCAACAAGTTGATAAGCTTGAATATGTCTCACAACAATTTGTCAGGTTCTATCCCTTATTTCTTAGCAAGAATGTTGAGCTTATCAAGCATCAATCTCTCCCATAACAATTTGGAAGGTCCTGTACCAGATAGTGGAATTTTTAATTCTTCTGACCTGGTAGATCTAAGCAACAACAAAAATTTATGTGGGAAGATCCAAGGTTTAAAACCTTGCAACATCTTAGCTATAAGGCCAAACGATGGAACTAGCAAAAAGAAAATGGTGATAGCTGTCACTTCTTCTCTAGCAGTGGCATCTATTTTGTTGGGAGTGGTTGGCATTTTTATCATTCTCTATAAGAGAAACTCAAGAGCAACAGAACATAACACCAGAGCCAGTAAAGAAAACCTATTCTCCCTATGGAACTTTGATGGCAAAATCATGTATGAAGCCATAATTGAAGCAACTCAGAACTTTCAAGAGAAATACTGTATTGGGGAAGGTGCATTTGGGGAAGGTTTACAAACTGATGTTTCCAGGGGAGGAAAGAATTTTTGCTATAAAAAAGTTGATATGTGAAGTAGATAGCTTAGACATTAAGAGTATAAAAGCCTTTGAAAGTGAGCTCAAAGCTCTGACCGAAACTCACCACCGGAACATAGTCAGGCTGTATGGATTCTGCTCACAAGGTCTGCACACATTTATGATTTATGAGTACATGGAAAGAGGAAGCTTGGGTGATATGCTTAGAAATAACACAGAAACATTAGAGTTGGATTGGTCGAAAAGGGTTGAAATTATCAAGGGTGTAGTAGACGCTTTATCATATATGTATCACGATTGTAATCCACCAATTGTTCACAGAGACATATCAAGCAACAACATTTTATTGTCTTCAAATCTTGAAGCTTATGTCTCAGATTTTGGCACAGCAAGGTTCTTGAAGCCTGATTCATCAATTTGGACAACATTTGCTGGCACGTATGGTTATGCTGCTCCAGGTGAGTCAATGTGATTAATATATATATGTGCTTCTTAGCTTATTTTGAAATCATTATTTACTCCGTGATGTTGTGTACCTTTTGCAGAGCTTGCATACACAGTGGCAGTGAGTGAGAAAGTTGATGTATATAGCTTTGGTGTTTTGGCTATGGAGGTGCTTATGGGAGAGCATCCTGGAGATTTAATCTCACATATTCAAATGAATGGGATTGGTCATATTAGCTTGGAAGATATTTTGGACCCTCGCTTATCATCAACAAGGCGTCACAGCTTGAAGAAATTGGCTTTGATTTGGCAAATAGCTCTTTCATGCTTACAAATCAACCCTCAATCTCGACCAACCATGAGAAGCATCGCCAAAAGGATTGAAGTAGAGAATATTCATGAGACCTGATTCTTCTATGTTTGCTTGCCTTGTGTATGTCTGTTTTATGCATATTTGTTTTACACAACTACATATTTTGGTATGATTAAATATTTTGCTTTGAATCCATTATCAAATTTAATGCTATAGGGCGGAACTGTCGGTACTTTTCTTAACAAGCTTTCATATCGACAAATAACACTTGTTTTGAATACAACTACTAATTTATTCAAGAGTAAAATATACCAATGTCCCCTCTCGGAGGCAGCTTGTGTCAATTGCACGAAATTAAACTACTTGTGGCCTAAAAGTCAGAAGGGCTAAAAGCAAAACGAAACACAATACAAATTGCCTAAGTTGTTTTTTTGTTCATAAGCTGAACAGACTCTTAATAAGGCTTGCATGCCATTCATGTTCTCAAGCATCAAAGTTGTTGATTATTCTTACTCTAAAGAATCAAACTAGCAGACTATTCTTATTCTATTAATGACTGACTTGTGAAAAGAAGAAACTTAGAATCTTCATTCATGTGAGTGATATGTCTTTGAAATTTGGTTGACTTAGATGTGGTTGTGTTTTCACAAGTCATAGAAATAGAATAGTTAACGGGAAAATGAATCTATGATGGCGACTTTAATATACCCACTGCGTGGAAAAAGCTGAGTAGTTAAAGCAATTAATAATGTTGAAATTATGATAATCTAACGCTTGTTATGGCTTTTCATCATTTATGGAGTCAAAGAGAAAAAGGATCCATGTACGTAGTATGGTAGTTTTCATATACCCATTGGGATGGCCCGAAAAAAGTGGCACAAAAATTAGTCATCCAAATCAAATTAAAATGGGGCCGCCTTAATGACCACCAAGAATAGACATAGAGATAAAAAAAAAAAAACTGAAGTAAAATTACTTATATATTGCTCAGCCCTAATAAAAATGGTCATCATTAATTTGACTTGTTAACTTGCTTGACCCTAGAGAAATAGTGGCATACAAGTTGCGGCAGCGGCGTCCAATATATTCAAATCTCGTTTGGTTAAAAAAAAAAGTGAAGCTACCAAATGACAAGGCATTTATGGAGTTACGACAGGTGGAGGCTCCTATACTTATTTTCAAATGAATTAGTCAAAACATACATAAAGAAAATAACCCAAGTGTTGTCCTTTCGTGTTCCTGCTACCAGGAATTAAAGTAATTAATACTGTTAAAACTACAATAATGTAACGGTTGTTATGTCTTCCGGTCAAAAAAAAAAAACGGTTGTTATGCCTTTTGCCCTTTTCATCATTCATGTAGTCAAAAGAAAACGTGTGAATGCAAAATAATAGTTTTCATATACTTGTTCCTCTTTGTACAGCATTGTTTGGAAAACCGACCAGACTAGTCAGGTTTCCCTCCATCACTATTTTTGTTTTTATTATAAGTGACATATAATCACATTATCAATTGAAACAAAAAAAAAGTGATTGAGTCACTAATTGTATTTGAAAATGAAATAAATTTTCGAATTTACCCCTATTTTTTATAAATTTAACCATGTTTAATATTTTATAGCATAATTTATATTGTAAAATGAATTCGTCAAAACATACATAAAGCAAATAACCCAAGTGTTGTCTTTTGTGTTCCTACATCTAGAAATTAAAGCAATTAATGCTGTTGAAACTCGATAATGTAACGATTGTTATGTCTTCCGATCCAAGAAAAAAAAAACGGTTGTTGTGCCTTTTCATCATTAATGTAGTCAAGAGAAAATGTGTGAATGCAAAATGATAGTTTTCATATGCCTGTTCCTCTTTGTACAGCATGGTTTGGAAAACCAACCAAACTGGTCGGGTTTTGCTCCGTCACTATTTTTTTTAAATTATAAGTGACATATACTCCTCTGGTCCTTTATATAGGGTAGAGAGAGAGTGTAAATTTTGGTCCTATATATTGGGCACCTGATATAATTTTTCAGATGGATGTACAGAATTGCCCTTATTAAATTGCTGGCATATTTTCTTCTGAACACTTCGTACATTTTCTTCGTTCCTCTTTCCAATGCTAAATACTTACTGTATCCTTTAATTTTGTCTTCTTCCTATGCCATTATTCCCGACTTTTCCTGTGGCTTTCTCTTTCTCTCTCTCTCTATTCATCTCTTCCACTCCCTCTGTCTGTCTTTTTATTCACCTGTTCCGATCCGTGGGTAGCACCATCTTTTAAAATGATTGGTTGATGAAGGGCCATGTGGCATTTAAGTTCGGTGCTTATCTGTGCACGATGCAATGCTATTTACGAGTAATTCCTTCCACCCATCATTCAATAGTTTTATTCTTTTTATTTTCAAAGTATTATACAGGGGTAAAATTAGAAAATTGTTATGTTTTAAGACAGAATTGTTGCAGTTTTTTATTGGTATGTGTGAAATATGCTGGAAGTGCCCTATAAATAGGACCAGAGGAGTAATCACTATCATTAATTAAAACCAAAAAAATGTGATTGAGTCACTAATTATATTTGAAAATGAAATAAATTTTTAAATTTACCCCTATTTTTTTATAAATTTAGCCATGTTTAATATTTTATAATATAATTTATACTGCAAAATGAACTAGTCAAAACAAACATAAAAAGAAAAAGCACAAGTGATGTCCTTTCGTGTTCCTACTGCCAGAAATTAAAGTAATTAATGCTGTTGAAACTATGAAAAAGTAACGGTTGTTATGTCTTCCGGTCAAAAAAAAAAACAAATGGTTGTTATGTCTTTTCATCATTCATGCAGTCAAGAGAAAATTTGTGAATGCAGAATGATAGTTTTCATATGCCTGTTCCTCTTTGTACAGCATTATTTGGAAAACCGACCAGATTGGTCGGATTTTCCTCCGTCACTATTTTTGTTTTTATTATAAGTGACATATAATCACGTCATTAATTGAAACCCAAAAAGATGTGATTGAGTCACTAATTGTATTTGAAAATGAAATAAATTTTTAAATTTACCCCAATTTTTTATAAATTTCACCATGTTTAATATTTTATAGTATAATTTATACCGAAAAGTGAATTAGTCAAAACAGACATAAAAAATAACCCAAGTGATGTCCTTTCCTGTTCCTACTGCCAGAAATTAAAATAATTAATGCTGTTGAAACTACGATAACGTAACGGTTGTTATGTCTTCCGGTAAAAAAAAAAAACGATTGTTATGTCTTTTCATCATTCACGTAGTCAAGAGAAAATGTGTGAATGCAGAATGATAGTTTTGATATGCATGTTCCTCTTTGTACGGCATTATTTGGAAAACTGACCAGATTGGTCGGATTTTCCTCCGTCACTATTTTTGTTTTAATTATAATTGACATATAATCACGCCATTAATTGAAACCAAGAAAAATGTGATTGAGTCACTAATTGTATTTGAAAGGGAAATAAATTTTTAAATTTACCCTTATTTTTTATAAATTTAACCATGTTTAATATTTTATAGTAGAATTTATACTGGAAAATGAATTAGTCAAAATAGACATAAAAAATAACCCAAGTGATGTCCTTTCGTGTTCCTACTCTACAATAATGTAATGGTTGTTATGTCTCCCGGTCAATAAAAAAGGCCGTTGTTATGTCTTTTCATCATTAATGTAGTCAAGAGAAAATGTAGTTTTCATATGCTTGCTCCTCTTTGTACAGTATTGTTTGGAAAACAGACCAAACTGGTCGGGTTTCACTCCATCACCATTTTTGTTGTCATTATAAGTGACATATAATCACGTCATTAATTAAAAAAAAAAAAGTGATTGAGTCACTAATTGAATTTGAAAATGCAATAAATTTTTAAATTTACCCCTATTTTTTTTATAAATTTAACCATGTTTAATATTTTATAGTATAATTTATACCGGAAAGTGAATTAGTCAAAACAGACATAAAAAATAACCCAAGTGATGTCCTTTCCTGTTCCTACTGCCAGAAATTAAAATAATTAATGCTGTTGAAACTACGATAATGTGACGGTTGTTATGTCTTCCGGTAAAAAAAAAACGGTTGTTATGTCTTTTCATTATTCATATAGCCAAGAGAAAATGTGTGAATGCAGAATGATAGTTTTCATATGCTTGCTCCTCTTTGTACAGTATTGTTTGGAAAACAGACCAAACTGGTCGGGTTTCACTCCCTCACCATTTTTGTTGTCATTATAAGTGACATATAATCACGTCATTAATTAAAACCA